CAGAGGACCTATACAATTTTTTTCTTTTTGATTTTTTTTTACCTGGATTACTGAGATGCATCAGGACATTTTGAATTTAGATTTTACCATCGTCAGCAGTGTTAGCGATTAGCAACAGTTAGCATTGACACTTAACAAATGCTAACCGTGTAATCAGGTACAAATGGCACCCCGAACGCAGCTGTGTTTTAAACAACCAGTGTTTTTTTTTTCACAGCTTATTTGGTTTATGATACTCCTGGCTGCGCACATTTTATGTTTGGTCACCAACAATTTCAAAGTTCTCTCTCATTTTTCATACTTTTGACTCACAACAACTCGTTTGATGTAGGTCTGAAACGCCCACATCTTTTCTCTTTGGAGATTAATTTTGTCTTGCAAAATTTTAAAAGACATTACAATTCCTGCAGCGTGAGGAAATTTAGAACCATTGCAAACATGTTGGAAAGACTTTTACCAATCGCGTGCTGTTAATTCAGTCACAAACACTCAGCTCAGTGAGTTACAGGTTTAGTTTTCTTTTGTGTAACCTTTTTTTTGATATAGACAAATACATTTCTGCTTAACAAATAACATCAAGCAGCGTTTATAGTGAAACCTCACAGAAGAAGGTCTTCGTGTGACATCTTTGTTTGTTCCTTAAAGTGGGATCTTGTTGCATCTACAGTAAATTTGATCTGCATCTCATCACTGCACCTCTAACCCAAGCAAATACTCTGAGCCCTGAGCAGATCACCACGAAAGGACCTGAATGTTTGGCCTGGCTCGGTGAGATTTCCACCAACATCCATCTTTCTCCCCCATAAATCCTTTGGAAGGCAGTTAGGATGACTGTTGTATCCCTGTGAGGTTATTTCCCTCCTCACACACACACACACACCAGTGCAGTTTTTCTTTTTTTGCCACCTCTCTCCGTCTCTCTCTGGAACAGTTTGGAAAGAGCTGATTTGAGTTGAAGTGTTAACACACTCTTCCTCCGGCCATCTGCCAAACACAAACGCTTGATGCCATGTTTGAAATCCCCTCAGCA